GGTAATGGTAGTCAAGCTATAGCTAGAATAAGAAGCAAAGTTGAAGTTGAAACAATGCTTAAAATGTGTCTGATGCAACTATCAACTGAATTCTGTCAGGACTCAACTGGCTACATCATTTATGGAGTCCAGTGAAAAAGAAAAGGTAGGGCCTGCTGTTCAAAATTTTTGGACTTTCAAGATGGTGACACCAAATCCAAGGAACTTCTGAGAACAGGTCCTGTGTGACTGCACAGGTAGCATGCCCATAAAGTTGGCCTCATTTGGACACTTAAGTAGTCAACTTACCCCATCCCCATATCTTTCCTAATACAACACACACACACACACACACACACACACACACACAGGAGAACATGCCAGGGCTCCAGACCACATCTTCTCAGGGAGTATCAGCACTGAGGAGGATGAGTTCCACTCTTCTCCAACCTCTGCCTCTGTTCTAACAAAAACACCCACAAATACAACCTCCAGAGCCCCCCACCTGCCCCCACCCTACCCCTTGCCCTCCTCTGCCTCGAATTTGTGGGTGCCAGGGATTTCCCTGGCCAAGGTCAAATTGAGGCAAAAGAGAAAAATTTGTATATGGGCATATAGGGTTCTTTTTTTCCCCTCCATAAGTTTTTTTATTCTAAGACCTGCCTTCACTTTGAAAATGAAAGTATGGTGATGGTTGGTAGTCTTTTTTATTTTGTTAAGGATATTTTAAAATTTTTGGAATGGTAGTCTTTTGTCAACTCTACAATTTAAAAGAAGCCAGGCATGGTGGTAAGAATTGCAAATTTGAGGACATCCTGAGCAACTTAATGACCTCCTGTCTCAAAAAAAAAACAAAACAAAAACAAAAACAAATAAACTAAAAAGTTAATCCATGAATGCCTGAGAATTTGCTGGGTTGGGAGGAGAGAAATACAAGCAGGTTAAGTTTCCAAGTCCAGAGCCTGACATATATGCATTAAATTCCTGCCAGATGAAGGGAATGGTGCAGGGCCTTGTACCAGTGGCTCATCATTCTCAATGAGATAGAGAACTGTCAATCCCTCTGAGCTTCAGTCTGCTGCTTGAAAGTGTTCCTGGAGTTCTTCCCTTCATCCTGTTTCTTACCAAGTCTCCATCCAAGGACCAAGGAAAAGGCCATCCATGCCAGGTATTTTGAGCATCTGGGAATTTTCCTTCTTTAAAACACCTCATCTATTCCTAAATCACCCACTGGAAACTCCACTTTGCAATAGTTGGTATAGTGCCTGATGCACTGAAAATGCTTTAAAAATGTTATCATCCCATGAACATCAGGTGATTATATCACAAAACCTCAAGGTGTGGGTGCCAATATAATTATTATCCTCATTTTGGCTGAGGAGAAGAAACCCCAAGGAAATTAAGTAATCATTTGTTGCTAGGAAGTGAAGAGCCAGGATCCCAAACAGACCCAGAATCCATTATTTAACCACTCTGGCCTGTCACCAGTGGCAGAAACCAAGGGACAGGTAGTACAAGGTTAGGTGGAGAAAAGTACAGGTTGGGAGACATGCCACAGTGGGCCAGTGTGCACCCTAATTCTTACTGCACCATTGAATGGGCAGCACATACCTCTGAGCACTTTGGGTGCAATCACAAAACCCTTTTCTAAGTTCTGTTTCTTTTTGTTTTGTTTCTCCTGTACACTCATCTTCCTGGTATGCCCCATGTAATTCTTGAAAAATCACCAAAAAGCTTCTTACAACACAGCATCTTGCAGTTCAGCCCAGGGGGAGAATCTAGTAGTGTCTCAAGTGCATTTCGTGCCTAATAAATGTTTGTGGATCTCTTGGAAAAGGTGGCCTCTTCCAGGACTCCATTAAACAGCCAATGGTGCTCTAAAGAAAGCATCCAAACCAAACGACCCATCAGTCAGCGTGCCAAACAGTGGGATCTGTGCCCACTTTCATCTCTCATGCCTCTCCGTATACAGGGCTGGACCTCATTGTTAATTACAATGCCTTTGAAAGATGGAGAAGATGAATAGCCCACTTCCATCCCCAAATTCAGGAATTGTTACCCGATATGTATTATCACCTCCTATTCCTTCCAATGTGTCTTTTTCAGCCCCAGAAATGGAAAGAACCAGAGGGTAGGATGTGTCACCCCCATCCCACCTAATTAATGCAAGAATATGAGGAAATGCATCCAGGTGTTCAAGGAGGAACCCTAAAAGAATTTGCAAAAACCCCCAATATTAAAAATATTAAAAATATTAAAATTTTGGAGGTTGGAAAAAAAATAAGAAATCCTCCACTCCAAGCCTACCTCAAACAAAAGTCTCCTATGCAAAATTAGCCATTCTTCTGATTCTAACTTCTGGTATGCACATATTAATTTACCAGTCATTTGTTAAGCATCAGTGGATTTATTATGACAAAGAATTGAAATTATTCAGTCATACTTCTGCATATGGGAGAAACCATCTCAGACTGATTTTCAATTTCCAAACTTGAATTTTTAATACTGCACAAGGCTATGCCAAAACTTTTCATTTTATGCTTTCTTTGAGCCAGCACCAAATGGTAGACATTGTTTCCTTTTAATTGAACCCATCTGCAAACCCGTAGAATATTCCAGAGTCTCTGGAAAAAAAAACTTTCCAAACTCTCTACTTGATTAATCACTGAAGTTTGACATCTGGATCTCACGCTGTTCTTGCTCTAGAAACACTCAGAAACAAGAATGTGAATGACTGTCTTAAAGTGTTTGTATATGTCTCCTTCCAATATGAGCAACAATGTTATCTGTCCGGAGTTGCAAAAAATCAACAGGGGGAAAAAGAGGTGAAGAAATCAGACATTTTTGTTTGGCCAGCCTTATACTCCTAGTTCCAAATATCTTATGACTGAAGCAAGAAAGAAAACAACATGCTCACAGAGCCAAGGATGACTGGCTCTTCCACAAAGGTAAGGCATTCTCCTAATTCAGTCAAGAGGGAGCACAATCCAGGTACTGAATGCTAAGATGCTCTTAGGCCTTCCCATATTGTGTGCAGAAGCCAGCACACAGCCATTCTTTGTCCTCTGTGGGCCTGGATTAGAACAGGCTCAAGAACAATTCTGAGTTGCACACAGATAAAGTAATCTTGATTTAATACTCTATTTCTTCCTCTTTTCTAAAAACAAAAATATTGGGGATACTGAACTTATAATTCAGAACTTCAAACACACAGGAGAGGAACACTTTTGGAAGAAGAGTAGAGAAGTTTTCTTCAGCCTCAGATGTCCATGGCCAGGGATGTGGATCTAAGATGTGGGGGGCTATCTCTAGGCTCAAACATACTATGCCTATTCTCCATATTGTGAAATCTGTTTTCACAAGAGAAGTTAAAACTGGGTTGGGAAGGAAATAAATACTACTTAGAGAAGCAGAAAAGAAAGATGGTGAAAGAATGAACTTTCTGTATGAAACAGATCAGAGGCATCAGACTTCTGGGGACAATTTGACCTCATCTTTTGGAAACATCCTATCTTGATTTCTTTTTTTCCCTTCCTGATGTGTTCCAGACCTGTTAACATAGGCAAAATCTTTTCCTTGGACAAAGGATATATAGAAATTAATCTGCTGTCAGGTTTTATTTGGTTTTTAAGACATCCTCTTTAAAAAAATATTCATGTGTACCATTAGCCAGAGTTTAAAAACCTACTGTGGAATTTTCACACTTCATTGTTTTTAAAGCAAAATTTTTGCCTAGAGTCTATAATGAGCTTATTAAACCTTCCCTGGGTGTGCAAGAAACTCTCCAGTATGACTTAAGCCAGCATCTCTTGTTTTGGCATCCTTGACCTTTGGGGCCAGATCATTCTTTGCTGTCTTGTGCATTGTTGGATATTTAGAGCCACTACTCAGTAGATGCAAGAAGTTCCCTTTCCCAGCAGTTTTGGAAATCAAAATTGTCCCCAGCCATTGCCAAATGACCCTTGGGAACATATCTTCCTTCACACTCACCCCCATCATAGCCCACTCCACCTCCAGCCCCACACCTGGAATACCAGCCTCTGGCTTCAAGAAAAGTATTGAATGAAAAGGAAATATTAGAATCCAATTTGAATGATCAAAGTTTTTGTTTCTCGGGTATTTTAATACCCCAAAAGTATTTTAATAGACATAATTCACTGCCAATCTAATTGTGATCCCCTTCATCCTTCTCTAATTACACCATGGACTGAGCTAGTGATTCACTGATCTCAGATGTGGTGGATCTTCTCTCAGGCCCAGAGATGATCAGTCATGAGAATCTCACTTCCTTTTGCTGGTATTTGGACGATTGGTGGAGAGTTGGAAATCATGTTGCTGAATTCTAGGCAATGAGCCACAAAAAGAATAATAAATGATTAGGGAGGAATTCTCCTTGTAAGATTAAAATAATAATACAAGTAAAATAGGAGTCTCTCTAAAAGATGGTGAAATGAGATGGACATTATTATCCCAAGTACATGTATGAAGACACAAATGGTGTGACTCTGTGTACAATCAGAGTCATGAAAAATTGTGCTCTATATGTGTACTATGAATTGAAATGTATTCTGCTGTCATGTATAACAAATTAGAATAAATAAATAAATTTAAAGAAAAATAAGAGCCTCTAAGAAAAAGTCATTTTGTCCTTTCTCTTATCCACTGTGATTTGTCTTGAATGTGACTGTATTGCTTGGAGTTTTGGCAGCCATCTGACAAGCACAAAGAATTGGACAAAAGAGTGAGATGCTAAGGAAGGAATGATGCTGAGGAAGGTAGGGCAGAGGGAACAAAAGAGCTTCCATCCTTGATAACAACCTTGAATTGCTGAGCCAGCCTTGGACCACACACTTCCAGAACGCTAATTGAGATATTGGCATATTATGGTCTACAGGGAAAATTCAAGAACTAAGGATTATTTTTACATTTTTCAAAGGCTGATTTAAAAAAAAAAAGGTGAATGAATAACAGAGACTGATTGGAGCCCACAAAACCAAAATGTTTATTAAGTTACTCTTTACAGAAAAAAAAATTTGCCAATCCCCAACATAAACCACTTATATTGAAGGTCTTGTGATTGGAAATCCAAAGCAAGTACTCATACAAGTACTAATATCTTCATTTTACAACTGCAGAAACTAATATTTGGTCAGTGCAATTAGAGAATTCAAATACAAATTTGTCATTATTTCTATTCATTAAAAAGTAAAGCCAAATTGAAGGTCCACAAAAGCATTTAACAAACTTTTTTCTCTTAGAAGCTTCCAATAGTATTTCTACTACTGTTAGGCTTGATTTCACAAGTCAGAAAAGATAAAATCTTTGGTGAAATATAAAGCATGCAGTGAATATCTTCAAAGGAAGATCCATTATCTGGATCATCACCGCATTTTCTGCAATAGGAAAACAAAACTAGGGACCCCATGGAGAAGGCACTGCAGAAAAACACCACATAAACAGACTCACTGGGGTGATAAATTGCCTCTCCTACTGCTGAGGCGGTTCTTGCACTTCCTGCTGACTCACTCAGAGCGAATCCTCAATGAAAAATATTCAAAGCTTTAACTCCATGTCCCATTAAGACTGCTGCTTTTCAGTGGGGCCAATACATTCAGTAGCACCTTGGTAAAGGGTTTAAATATTGACAAAAGCTTATGAATACTGGGTGAATCATGTCCAGCAGAGGTCATACAAAACCTGCCATGGAAAGCCTATGAGTGCTGTTCAGAAGTTCCAATAAACACCCACCAACCCTAGGGTCATGACAGTGAGTGGCTAGCAAGGTCAGATTGGTTTTCTTCCTTCTTCCTTCCTTCCTTCCTCTCTCTTTCTTTCTTTCTTTTGTGCCTATCCTAGTACCTGGTACATGTAGGTGGTCAATAAGAAACACAGCCCCCAATCTAGACCCAGTACTGGTTGTGCTTCAGCGTTGGGTTGGTTTGTCGGCAGAGCTTGATCATGTCGGGATCCAGGTTCATCCACGTCTCCCAAGGAGCACATCTTTCTGTTGGTTCAGCCACTGGAGAGGCCATTTGTCCACATGGAGGAGCCCTGAAAAGACTGGCTGGGGGACTGCTGGAGCTTTTCATGAGGGGTGTCACCGTGACGGTAGGAACTGTTATACTCCTTTCTGGCCTACAACTTGGGGTTGTGGGTTCTAGGTTGGCCTGGGGCTCGATAAGAGGTTTTGCCTTTTCTTTCCTCTGGCCCAGCAGCCAGACACACAAGGCCACCACAGTCAACATTAGCAGAAGGAATACTGCAGCCAAGGGTATAATGACGATCAGCGGGTAACTGCTTTCTCTGAGCTGAGTGGGTGCCCCAGAGCTGGCTTTGGTAGCAGCTGGTGGCCAAATGCTAGTGGTAGGAGAGACCTTGTCATCCAAACTTGGCTCTTCACCACTGAAGGGTCCCCAGGGATCTGCTCTGTGTGATCTAGCCTGGGTCAGCTTCCCCAGAGTTTCCATCTGTGTCAGTGCCACGGGTCCTGAAGAAACCACAGGCTTTTTCTGCAAGAGAACTGAGGTCACGAGGTTATCACCAGTAACTCGTAAAGGAACATCTGATGTAAGAGTCTGCAAAAGCCAGGGGTCAAGCGGCATGATGATGAAGGGGAGATGACCGATTGCTGGCTGTACATGATCTGCCCTGAGCAAGAAAGTGAAGGAATCATTCAGCATATCAGTGCCTGATAGACTGGCATGTGGATCGAGCATCAATAGCCCTTGGTCAATGTCCCTCTGAGTGAATAGAGTTGCATCTTCCATTACAGTGCTGTGAATCACTCTTCGTATAAGTCTTCCGTGGACAGGGGGTTCTGTCACTTCAAATTTGGGATCACTGTTAGTCATGTTAGCAAGCTCAGTAGCATCAAGGTCCTTTCTTCTCAGCTGATGAGCCACCCTGTTGGCAATTTTCAGATTTGATGTAACCCTCAATAACGGCTGCACTCTGATACCCAGGGTTTGTCCTGTCAGGTTGCATTCTGATGTAAACAGTGAAAACCGTAACTGGTCCTCTGAGGCCGTGAGGTTTGTCATGTGGTAGGAGAGTCTTCCTGAATCCAAATCCTCCTGTCCAAAGCTGCTGACCACCTGGTTTCCAATCAGCAGGTGCCCGTGTTGGAGAGGCCATGTTATTCGGTAAATGATCTGGGGGCTCCTTCCATTTGTCACTGCTGACAGGTGAGCATTAGTGATGGGGACCGTTGTCTGGCCTTGTGGGACAAGAAGGTCTGTGAGGTTCATGAGGGTGATGGAAATGGGAATGACGTCCAGGTGGAAGAGCTTGTAGAGAGGGCGGTGTTCACCATCAGTCACACTGAAGTAAAACACTCCAGAGGATAGGCTTCCGTCTTGTGCAAACCACACCTGAGAGTTATCGATGTCAGCTTGGGTGAATTGATGAACAAGTGTGTCTGGAGGGTAAGTCATTGCCAAAAAGCCATTACTGGGGTGACGGATGATTGTATATCTGATCTCATCTGGAGGGCTGTCTAGATCTTCCACTTTTAGGACTTCAGGTCCCACAGCCACCCTACTGCCTTGCAGAACTTTCAACCGAAGTCCTTTTGTCTTTAATTCTGGTGCCTGGTCATTCACGGGAGTGATGGTGATGTTAAACATCTCCTCAATAAAGTCAGCCTCCGGCTTGGTGACAGACTTATGCTTTTCATTTGACCAAACAGCAAAGGTGAAACCATCAGCCAGTGTTTCAGAGTCATCGTGAAGGTATGTGAGTCTAAGTTTATTAATTAGAGACTGGGAGAAATTAGGTTTTCCTTTGGTAAGATTTCTTTCTCCAACCATAATGGTTCCATGATAAGGAAGAGATATAATCTGGAACCAAATTTCATAGGAAGAACGCTGAGATTCAGGTAGTTTAAATAAGAGGTTGGAAGCATCTAACTTAGATTGGTCAATTAGAACTCTGTCTCCCTCTTTTACAGCAGCTCCTGTTAAAACATAAAGAACAAAGTGACATCTCATTAGAACATTCGGATGATGGCTGTAAATCACTTTCTCCTACTAGATTATTCTAAACACTTGGTTGTTTATGTACCTAAATTAACATTTCTACCCAAGGCATGTGAAAAAAAAAAGAATTTTAAATACAAACCCACAGGTACACAATTAGGAAAACATTTCAGGCAAGTAATATGCCCTAAAACTTTAGATTCACTTACTAAGTGGTAATTTCCTAACTTATCTACTACTGGACTTTCTCTTGCTATGGAAACAAATGCAGCTTTCAATACCTCTTTCCTTTCAAAAACTTACCTAAATTGTCATTTTCATTTCCTATCAACAGTTTTCAGTCACGGGCATTGTGAAGTCCCCTTTCAGAGGTACAAATAAAATTATTTAAAGCCAAGTTGCCATCCTTTCCCCAATACAGCCATTAAGGTCATGAGAGGAAATAGAAGAGGCTCAGAGAAAGAGGACATATAACAAAATAACAGATTGTTATAACTGTATTAGTTTTATTTCAAAGGTTGGCATCATAGCATTGACAAAAGTGAAAGATTTCTTCCCCAATTGTTCCTATTTTAATATAGGTAAGGTACTGACCATATCCTGTAGCATTACCTGTGTTTGCGAGCAGGCAACTCTGCTGACCAGGCTCCTGAACTTCATATGAAATGCTAATGCGGAACTCCTTGGGGCCTAGAGCTGCTGCTGGTGGGGAGGACGCTATGAATGTGAAAGAGTCTTCTGCAGTCCAGCCTGTGTTCACTCGATCCACATGCTCGTATAATATCAGGCCTTCACTGACCTAGAAAAACAGTAAGAAAAATTATCCCCTAGCTTCCAGGATGATGCAAGGATTAATATGTACCCTACCTGGAGGACATAAGATCTTCTCATGGCTTACTCTATTCAGGCTCAAATAATTGCACATATCCATGTAAAGCAGGGACACAGAAAAGGTGGTAACTTGTTTTCCAAATCAAGGGGATTCTAAATTTAAGTGGGTCTCATTAGTGCCCAGGTCAAAACTGCCCAGGATAAACTATCATATAATTTACAGAACTTTTGAGTCTACTGCATCAGTCAATATATGAAGTACAGAAGTCTGGCTCTCTGAATATGTATTGCTCTGGCTCAGTGCTAGTTTAGTGGATATATACAGAACCAGAGTTGTAGGAAGTGTCTATGGAAGGTAAGCTCCTTGTCCCAGAGTGCCCCAAAACTGTTGGTGAGGAGATTCTTGTTCCTACACTATTCGAGGATGAGGCAAGGATGGTGTCATTGGGGGATTTTAAATGGGGATGAGAAATCACCATCTCTCCACATTTCCTCAGAAAGGAACAGATTGCTTATGAGAAATTGAATTACTCTGATTAAAAGAAATCCAATTTGGATTGGAAATTGGAAACTCTATTATCTTCTTCAAAGATGGTCATTTCTGGTACTAATAGCAACTCAGCTCCACAGAAGTTCCTGGAAAATGAGACTTCTTGATTTAACAGTCCTACCATTTCTATTCCTAGCTTCAGATTTGTGACAAAAGGTCATAAACATATTCCTCCTCCCAGAAACAGGAGATTGTGCCATGAATTTTGGACCTGAGGATGTTCCTAAAAGGTCCCTGCTCTGCTTCATAAGGCAAAAGAAATCCAATTTCTTTATTTTTAAAAAATATTTTTAGTTATAGATTGACACAATACCTTTATTTATTTATTTTATGTGGTGCTGAGGATTGAACCCAGTGCCTCACACATGCTAGGCAAGCGCTCTACCACTGAGCCACAATCCCAACCCAAGAAGTCCAATTTCTTATAACTGTAAGTAAACTAGTATTTTAACCAGGAGGAAAGATTTTCTTGAAAACTGGTCACTCTTGTCCATTAGTACTTGGATGTAAGTAACAATTAGCTTTCCTAAATACACACACACAAACACACACACACACACACACACACACACACACACACACATATATATATATATATATATATATATATATATATATATACTTTTTTATTGAAATAATAAAATGTTCCAAGGAAAAATAACTGGAGAAGAGTCCTAGACATGGTTTATATTTCAAGAGTCTAGTGGAGGAGAAGTCTCATTGAAATTCTATTTTTGAAGAAGCATTTCAAGAGTGAGAAATGAAATGTCAAAAACCAGTTGACTCATTTTGCACTGGAGAGTGAGAGAATTGAATCAGAGGGATCTTGAGCATCGGGATTTTAAGACTGGATAGAAAGTGCTGAAGTGAAGGGGAATAAGAGTGACTGTGGGATTCCCACTTGCCAGTCACACCCTGAAGGAGGACTGCAGGGGAATAGAGTCTTTAATGTTGAGAAGAGGGTTTTAGCCTCTCCAGCTTCAGGAGCCGGATTCTAAGGGCTATGTGAGCATGCAGGTTTGCAGGTGGGTATGTGTGTGTGTGTGTGGTACTAATAGCAACTCAACCCCACAGCAGTTCCTGGAAAGGGCCCAGAAAGAAAGAAGGAGGCCAGGATTTGATGAGACAAAAAGAATGGAGTGAACCTGAGGAGAGAAGGATCTCAGAGAAGGTTGGGGATTTTGTCACCTCAAATGGAAAAATGGCCTTAGGAACAGCTTCCAACAGCTCTACATATTTCCACTGTATTAAAAATGGATGGATAAGCCACTTAGCTGAATACCTGAGCTCTGGGATTAAGAAGGGGAGGGGAGGTTTTTATCCTCTGAATTTACATTAGCCCAGATATTTTCCTCTTTTAGAGAAAAGGTCTTTCTGGAATAACATTAAAACCAATTTAGAATTCCAACTAAGAAACATAGTAGGAAAACAATATGAGAAAAATCACCATTTGACAACTATAACAGCCATAATGTTTTAGGCAAGATCCTAAAATGATTGCTAAAATAGGCTAAAGCATGATGAGAAAGAGGATTGTTAAATGGTTACAAAGTGTCTCCTCAAGACACTGATTTATCACAATAGGGAGAAAAGCACTTGCTCAATGGAGAAACCCAAAAGGCAGTGCTCCACCAAGCAATGAATAAATGTCTTCACTCCCTGACAGAGCCAACATCAAAGCCTGCTGATAGGAAACTCTGAGAAGAACCAACAGCTCCCATGGCATTCCTGCCCAGAATGCACACGCTGAATGTGATCACAAGGAAACATCAGATAAAATATCAGATAAGATCAAACTCAAGGGCATTCTGCAGAGAACTGGCCTGTAGCCTTTAAAAAAAATTTTAAAAAGGCAAGATCATAAAAGACAATATAATAGAACTGAGAAGTGTTTCTACTTATTAAAGGAGACTAAAGAAACTTGACAACTAAATGCTATGTTTCATGCTGTGTGTAATTTCTCTTTTGCTATAAAGGACACTTACTAAAACAATTTGGGAAATTTGAATAAGATCTATAAGTTGTACAATAGATTTATAGCAATGTTAATTTTACAATTGTGAAAATTATACTGTGGTTATATCAGAGAAAACCTTGTTTTTAGAAGTAATTTCTAAAGGAAATCCTGTAGTGTTTTACTATATCAGCTTCAAGAAAGGACCAATAATCCCTATTCTCTGATGACCCACATATGCAGAGGGACAGGGACCAACCCACAATGTCTTGGGGACTCTAAAATCAAGAAGTGATTTTTTTCCTATTCTGAGTTAGTCTATCCCCCTCCTCCCAAAACTACCTCCCACTCCCACAGCCTCAAACTTGGGCCTTTAACAAGGCTGTCATCCTGTGTCACCCAGGAATGGGTAGATGTGGTTCCAAATCTTAGAACTTCTCAGAGTAATGCTTTTATTTGAAGGAACAATATTACAAGATCCATGGATGGCAGAGATCTAAACCTTCTGTATCTCAGATTGTTGATTTCTAAGGAACCACAAAGAACTTTTGTCAGATATTAAAAAGGGATTTGACTCTAAGGACAGGGCCCTACTGAACTTTCTGTGATGCGTTGAAGTTTACATCTGAGAGGCTGCTGAAAGTTTAGAGAAGTTGGGAATGAATGGACCCTTGCCCTTGCCCCATTGCAGGGCTGGTTGGTAGCACAGCTGGGGACAGAAGCCACATCTCCCACATCTCCAGGCACTCAAGAGAGCTTTCTTGTATAGTACTTTACTGAGAGGAACTCTTTGGCTCCAACTGCTTGAATTACTGCTCTTATTCCTCTAAGGAAGAAAAGGACACTTAATATGAAAATGAAAGCAGAAGAGTGTAGTAGATTTTGAGCCTTGGATCAATGAGAGTTGAATTCAAATGTAAATGCAAGCAATTTTCAGCTCTGTGGTCTGCATGCCACTCATTTAACCTCTCTGGACCTCCATCTGTGCATTAAAATACAGAATAATGTCTTTCAGATGTGCATTTAATCTAATGGGCTTATAACAATATCAGTGCTCAAAATGGCAGGCCTTGGGCCTTCTAGGTCTTTCTAAAGAGTGTCTAAGTCCTCACTGACCAGTTAGTTGCTCACTGGGACATGGGGGAGATTCTAGTTAAGATGGAAGGCTATACTCATTTTTTTTGTAGTGAATCCCTGCATGAAGATATTAGGCAATCTGAAAGTCCTAAAACATGTCTAATAAAAATAAATATTTTTTCTCATAATAATGAGAATTGGTAGAATTTGTAGGCTGAAGTTGTTGGCACATATCTGGAAGCTTAGTTCTAGCTCCTTTGTAATTAAGTATTTGTTTACCATTCTACTACTGGGCATTTCAATAAATATTTGTTTAATAAAAAAAATAAACTACTTTTTATAACATTTTATAAAATTTAATTAGAAAGTATGTACATTTATAATCATTAAGCAGTGGAAATAAGGCAATCCAGGATATTTCTTACACATGGAAAAATTAACAAAAACACATGAAAATACCTAAGTTTTATTGAACCCTAAATACAAAGTCCAGGCATTCTACAAGGCACTTAACATAACTCATTTTATTTTATTTCTTTTCTTTTGGGTGATACTGGTGATTGAGCCCAGAGATACTCTACCACTGAGATATATCCCCAGCCCCTTTCTAAATTTTATTTGTTAGGGCCCACTTCACAGATTGGAAAAGGCTCAGAAAATGTAAATAAACAATAAATGGGACAGCCTAGTTTTGAACCTAGTCCTATGTAACTCCAGAGTTCATCCTTTTCCCACTAAGAGTTGCATTCACAGTCAGTGAGCTTTTAGGCAAAAAAGAACTTCCCAAGATAAGCTCTCGGACTTCAAGGAGACTAGTAATTGGGAAAGTCAGTGGGTAAGGATGAGGAAGGCAGACAAATACTACTTTGTGGTCTGGCCTGGCCAGAACAGTCAGTATCAGCCAGAGGTTGTCCAGACTTGTAAAGATTCAAAGAAATAGTTCATTCTATAGACTGTGTTTGTTATAAGTGGCAAAATTAAAGAAAGGTAGCATTCCAGTTCTTCTACAAGAGGGCCATTTTTTAAATCAGAAGACACAAGGAGGAAAAGGGTGGGATGGAAGGAAAAGGATTTTTTCACTGGGGATCATTCCTGTTTCAAGGCCATCTAGGTACCTAGCAGATACCTGTGTGCAGGAGGCTAAGTGTTTTAAACCTGAATCCAGAGAGCTAAGGTCATGTGATTGTCCTTGGATGAATCCAGTGAGCAACAGGAGCTCAGATACACCATGCGTGCTGGAGTCATCGTGTCATGGAATCTGACAATTTCTTTTATTTTGGGTGATACTGGGGATTGAACCCAGAGATGCTCTACTCCTAAGCTATATCCCCAGCCCCTAACTTTTATTTTTAGACAAGGTCTCACTAAGTTGTGGGAGCAGCCTCAA